ATACATGCATGCATGCATGCATGCATGCATGCTTTCTTTTTTTCTGCAGGATTTTGCATGGTGGGATTTTAAACTCTAGTGAACAAAACAGCAAAGAGATATGAAAATTATTTCTGTTGCGATCTCGTGCCCGCTTCCCCCCACCCCCAGTTCAGATCTGACAGCCCTAGCTCTGCCTCCCATGATTCATTTCTTCCTCTCTTCGTTTACTTTCACCAGAACGAAGATTGGCCACCTCGCCCATCTTCTCAGTTCCTGTTCAGCTCTCTTGCCATTTGACAGAGACCACACAACGGGCAGCAGGACATGACCACCCAGTCTTCACAGATAGACCCCTGAGTGGAAAACAAAGCCTGGGTTAAAATGGGAGGTCAGCAATGATGATCAGCATCATGATCAAGATGAGGATCGTGATGGAGGAGGAGGGTGACATCCTTTCATGGGGACAAATGCCTCCTTTTGGGAAGAAGGCATTGTCACATCCGGTCACAAACCACCCTTTCCCCACCTCAGTTTGCACTTTTATTTTTGACACTCTGCCTTTTACCTGAATACGGTATTTATCACGCACACCCGTACGAAGAGCGATGAGAGCCCCTGGCAAAAGTGGAAGACAGCAGGACTCACCTGCCTGCTCGGACACCCGACAGGCAAGGATGCAGGGTACAAAGGTGGCACAAAGACCTGGAGAAGAGGAAGGAACAGGGTGATGTTCTCCCAAACTCCTTGAACAGACCAACAGAAAGCACAGATGACTCTCCTCCCCTTGGACATATAGTAATCAGATTCTAGTCAACTCTCCTCTCTACTAAACCATGACCTCTTTTATGGATTTTCTGCAACTGCAAGACTAGGAGAGCCAAAATGGTAGGAATACTCATCTAATTTGTGAATTAGATTCTGCGACAAGGAGTCCCTGGTCCACTTATTATACATATTTGGGCTCCCAAAGCTGGTAGCAAAGACTGTAGCAAAAAGAATCAACCATATTCAATAGCTGAACAGGATACCCTGTTCTCCAGCATAGCTGACCACCAGCATTCCTATTAGATGGATGGAAAGCTTTTCCTGATGAAGCAAGTACATCACTAGATGGAAAATAGTGACCTGACTTGAGTGACTCCTGTATGATAACTGCAAGGCTGGACTACTGTAATGTTTTATTTCTGGGACAACCTTTGAAGATAATCTCCAAACTGTAGCTGGCCCAGAAGGTGACAGTGCAGAGATGGAATTGGTGCTCCTTGAAGGTCCCACAACACTGCTGCATTGAGCCCTTTCCAAAGTGCAACCCAGGTGTATGAAGCTTTACAGAGTTAGGTCCAAGCTACTCTGAAGGCTGCCTGCATCCACAGATTGTTCAAAATGGCCTCTCTTCTACTCCAGATACATTTCACCTCAAGCGTTAATTCTGTTTTCTCCAGGAGAGGTTTCATAATACAAGACAAGTTGCTCCTGGAATTGAAGTCCTGTCTTTTGTATACTTTATGTCTGGGTTGAAAAAAAACCAATAACCCTCATTCATAGGCAAATTGATTATTTAGTCTTAGATGTTTGGTATTTTTGTTTTTTAATAGCTTAGATTCCTTACTTTTCATTATGTTCTTATGGTTGTTTCTTTTGGAGATAGGGATAAACTGCCAGAGCCATCCCAGTTTGCCATATCTTTTAGGGGCCCAGGGGGGAGAAGGGGGGAATCAAAAAAGTCAAGATGGCACCCGCAGTTGTGAGATCAAAGCCTTGCCATTTGTTTACGTGCACTGCATACTGTTTTAGTTTTTAAAGGTTTATACACCTTGTTTATAATTGTGTATTTATGATTTGGGGAGGGCAGGGGCATCTGCAGTGGGGTCAAAAAAGTCAAGATGCAATTCATGGAAAAGGAGCAGGATTTTGACTGCACATTTGTGGCTACCGCCTTGAATGTTTTGGCCCCTTTGTGGAGACCCCTGGTCCTTGACTTTCCTGCGTAAAGCCAGCCACTTGCACAGCAGCAAGAGACCCCACCTTTGCCCCCAGAAATACCTCCATTACTTACAGATGCCCATGTCAGAACAGCAGTCACACAGGTCAGAACTCCAGCTTCCCTGGCTACTGAATGTGTAGCTGGTGCCTGTAGGTTGTGGCTGAGCGTCAATAATCACCTCTGATTGATAGGCCATGTTGTCCCTAGGGGGGAGGAGGAGGAGGAAGGGAGCACCAATTATTTCGATTAACCCATCAGCTCCTTTGGGTCTTGGGAATCTTTACAACCATTTTCCCAACTGCCAACCTTTCTTCCAGCCCCTGCTCCCGTGATACTAACTCTGAGCTCTGCCAATATGTCACCCTTGCGAAGTAGTCCAGAGACAAAGCACATCCAGAAGTTCTAGGTCTAACTTTATTTTAGGGTTACATTAACAGAATCTTGCAAGTCTGAAAGTGTATTTCTCTCCCCTCACCACCTTTACAGTTCAAGAAACTAGGGAGGGTCCCTTCTGAGATGTTTGCCACGTCCTGATTCCTTCTGTGGACTCAGCTGCCTCTTATCTGACCATTGTCCAGTCTGCAGGTCTTCCTTCTGTCTCCCAAGGTCATTCCCACATACCATTACATAATACTAGTAAATGATGACTTTATTTACCTTTCTACTATTAAAGAGCTCATTTATGGATTTCTTCACACAGGAGCAAGCTAGGGTGTCCTGTTTTCCCACACTTCTCCTCCTAGCCATTTATAACCCATCCATTGTGGGTGGATTTCACAAGAGACATTGTTGTACGCTCTTTTAGGAATAAGCTACATGGTGCCCCTGAGTACGGCTTTGGATCCAATTGCAAAAAGATGCTTTGGCACATATGGAAAGGTAGCATTTGTCTGCAACTCCTCAAAGCATTTGTGTCTTTACCCAGGATTGTGGGAGGAAAAAAAATGTAGGAAAAGACATTGCTGCTTTAAAGAGGTTGGCTGAATCAGAAGCACTGCACAGCCACGTTGCTGAGTTCTTACACACCTTCTGGCTTTCTTGCCCAAAGACTCTTCCTGTTGGATGTGATAAGAGTGCCCCTTTTCATTCGTTATAAAACGACGCAAGACTTTCCGTCAAACAACAATCATTGCGTTTTCTTCACGTAACAAAAACCATTTGCAAGCCTTCATTTGCCTTTCCTTAATGAGCCCTCAGTTCAGGAGTGTCTGCTGGGTGTAGTCAAACAAGTCAAGAAGGTGCAATGGAAACTCCACCTGTTTTTTATGGGTTCACACCTACTTCTGCGTTTTTTGCCATTTAAGTGCTGGTTCCCCTTTTCACAGATTAGGATTCCATTTCACTACATGCAGTGGACCCCCAAAGGCCTCCTCTTCTTTCAGGGCACCTTGTTACAGCTGCCAGGAATTGTCGCCCTTGGCACGGCCACAAGGGAGACGCATGCGCCAATCAGAAAGCGATTGGTCTCCCGTGGCATGGCTATTCAGGCCATGTTTTGGCCTTCAGCACATTCCCATGAGCTCTTCTTTCAGTTCTCTCCTTGAGGGACACAGGGAGGTATTTTAGAGAGCAGTCCCATTTGCTCTTAGCCAACCCACATGAATATTTTGAGCAAGGCAAAGCACACGTTTCTCCTAATTGTACAAAACCATCTATTGTAAAATGCATGTTCAAGGACTGCCACAATACCATCCCACCAGAGAGAAGCTCCCATTCACAGAGCAAACAAACGTGAGCAGGAAAAATAACATTCTGAGGGTTACACATGTGACAAGGAAGCACCTATTTGTTTGGCTTACATTGTTTATTTTGCAATAGCACCATTGTCAAACTTGGACACCAATCAATTATCACTTGTTTCTAATAAACCCAAGTTGTGCTGGACTGGAATACCCATTCCCCCCAAACATGATGTGGGATAGGCAGACTAGCTGCTGGCTAACGGCATGTGTGCCACTCTCTGCCATTTAGGCTTTTTGTGAGATACTTCCAAATAAATTATATTTTACAAAAAACATTCTAGCTGAGTTTAAGTGCAACACTGATCTCCACCTGTTTAGCAAAACAGAACTCCTCTGTTCTATTTATTTCAGCACATGTGGTACCAAAATAAAATTTAGCTTGGTTTAACATGATGGCTTATTCCAAAACATCCTAGGACAATGGGTAGGCTTCCACAACACCCTAAGCCATAAACTAACCAAGGCCCTTTTAGCCCAGCCTGGTGGGTTGAATGAACTCCGCTAAATGCCTTTGCCAACCAATCAATGATCAATAATGATGTGACCTAGCTGGTAATGAAACATCTGCAAGCAAACAACCAAGCTCAGAGAGCACCAAGAACTCCCCAATGTTCAATGTCTGGAATGGTGGCTTGCGAGCCCAGGAGTTCCCTCCACATCTGTCCCAAACAAATGTGGCCACCAAGTCTGTAGTGATAGCTCCTTCAATGAAATGTCAAACGCCTATAGCGGGGGACCTAATTATAGGCAAGTGATGTGGTCATCTGAACCAAAAGGAATGGAGAACTGGAGAAAATAGAAGGGTGGGGCAAGACCCGGAAGGGAGAGACACAATTTGTTATCAAGAGTTTTGCTCATGCAATGCTGATAAGTTTCATAGTTTCCGTAAATAATTTATCCTTCCACTGACCTCTCCCCAAAACAAGAGCCAGCATGGTGCAGCAGTGAAGGTGCTGGACTAGAAGTCGAGAGACCCAGATTCTACTCTGTCCCCAACCATGGAAGCTCCCTGGGTGGGGTTAGGCCAGTCACACTCTCAGCCCAAAAGCCAACATGATGTTGTGGTTAAGGAGGTGGACTGGCCCTGGAGGAACCCAGGCTCTGGTCTCCCCTCAGCCATGGAAGCTCCTGGGGGAGCGGGCAGGGGGACTCTGGGCCAGTCTGCCCATCTCAGCCCAACATTGTGGAGAAAAACAGGAAGAGGGGACATTTGTACCCTACCTTGAGCTCCTGAATGGTGAGCTAGAAACCCAAGTCATATATGGGTTTATGAATGAGCAATACCATATTCTCCTCTTGATAATAAAATGTACTAGCCAAATATTGGTTTATTCCTCTCCACTTAGCCTGCTGACGAACTGAACGTTGCCATTCTGGATTTTTTAAGAAAAGGGTGCCAAATTTTGAACTAGGCCTTGCTGCCAAGGGTTCAGGACTTCACAGGTAGCTGTGTTTCACTCCACGTTCATCTGCTGATCTTTACAGCTCAGACTTCAGTGAAAACAAAAACGCTCAGATTCTTTCTTCCTTTTGGTTGCTTTTTAATTGCTCGCCGGTAACCTTATTTTAGGAGAAGTGAATTCATGAAGATATATCTGTTATAGTAAGAGAAAACCTCAGGCTACAATAACCAAGTTAGCCTCCAAGGTGCCACAAGACTTTCAGGAAGAGAAAGCCCTGTTGAAATCAATGGGAATTAAACATTTAACTGTGCTTTGAGTTGCCTACAATCAATGAGCTTAACATCCAATCCTAAAAACATCCAATTGAAAGAAAATCCCATTGATTTCAAGGCAGCTCACTTCTGACTACACTTCAGCTTTCAGCACTGTTAAGGTTTCTTGCCGTTGTAGTCCAGCTTCTTCACAGCACCTGCTGACATGAATGCATGCCACTGGGAATTTGCCTTCAGGTTCCAGCCCATGTACCCATTTTTGTTTTAAGACTTCTAGCAAGCATAATGTGGTACTTTCACATTTTCTCTTGCTACCATATTTAGTAGACTTCCTTCCATCCTCTTTTCATAGATAAAACTTAGCCAATTTGCTTAAGGTAGGTCTGCTCTGTTCATCAGCTAGAGAGTTACCTTTGGTCTCCAGATCTGTTTTTCTATCTTTAATGCCAACTTGAGAAAAAATAAATGACATTTCCCCCTTTTCCTCGTGGTACCGGTCACTTTTTTTTTTAAAGGCTGTCGTGAACAACACTAGAACAAGGCCAGGGGAAATCTTCTCTCCCCCACTCCCCATTCATTAATACAGCAGAATTTGAACCCCGGTTTCAAACACAAGTCTATTAACTTGGCTGCTTCACTATCTAGGTTTATTTCTCCCTTCTAAGACAACCACGGGGGAATTTATTCCTGTTCCACTATCCTCTTTCCAGCTCATTCCGGTATCATAATGGCTTTACTAGGACTTTGAATCATTCTGTGCAAATGCTCAATATTCACCAGTTGAGCACTTGCACAGCATTTGCTATGGGGAAAAAGGAGCCCACCCTTTCCTGTAGGGCTCCTTTTTCCCCATAGCAAACAGCTAATCTAATCTGACATAGTCCATTTTACAGCCTTGTTCCCAAGGTAGGCAGAGTCAGATACCTGGTTCAGGCATCCCATTGAGTTATCATGCAGTTTATTTAGCTTTACTTAGCATGATCGGGGTTTGAAACCTCCTAACCACCTTCTTATAGCCACCAGCCTGGAAATAGCCTAAAATTTTAGCCTTTGTTTTAAGAAGGACTAAGAGATGAAAGGGATGCTTTTGTCCGATTACATAACAATTGCAATTTATAATCTGGCAAAATTAAGGCAGTGGAAAGGGCTTGAGATCGCAGAACATACTAAACTAAGGTTAACAAAACACAACTCCTATGTTCATGGATCATGGTAGACCCAAACCAATAATCCATATTATGATTTAAGGTGGCTATGCTGGGATCCATTTGAACATCGTTCCCCCTGGAGAGAAGATTGAGGTGAAGGAGTTGAGGCACTCAACCCTTTCTCTATCACCAATACCTATCCTATCATTCTTCTCCTTGCATCAGATCCACCCCTTCCTTATTCTTCTTTTTACTATTGACACATTGTTGCTTGTAGTTTCCTTTAACATGTGAACTACAAACCACTCAGCCCAATTTAACCTAAGCTAGTCTGCGAGCTGAAAGTGAAATACACAATTCTTAGGTAGCACAGAGACTCCTCAAGGTCTTTCCACTACTATTTATCCCCCAGCCCACTCCAAACAACCACTTGGCATCAACAGAGAATTTGCAAACATTCCCATGCTTGCTTACCTGGATTCTTACCTGGAGTTTTCTTTTTAACCCCCACTGGAACTTCAGATTCTGGGCTGACGAACTGTCTCCAGTCAAGAAACCCAGTTTAATCAACAAGCAGCTGTTATATAGACTTTATTGCAAGGGCGGGGAAACTGAGGGGCTGTGCTCAAAAGGAGTTGATAGGGAAAACATGAGTAGTCCAGGTGGGGCAAATTTTAGGTGGAGGAGGAAAGCATAAGAAGGTTACCTTGTTAAAGAAACTGAGTTGATGGATAGGATTTACAGAGAAGGAAGAATGTTGGTTTTTTTAAAATAAGGAAACACATTTGTACAAATCTGTGTCCTCTGCAAAAAAAAAAAAAGACTTCTGGGTTTAATTGTTGAGTATTGGCAGGACAAAAGAGGCTGATTGTGCAATATGTTATGTTCTTTTATGACAAGGATTCTTAAGCCAAATAGGTGTGCAACAGAAGTTAGCCAGCTGCCCTTCACATCTGTATGACTTGGTAGAATTCTCAGCCAAAGTCCCTGCTGGTAGTATTCGTATCCCAACCACTGATGAATGCTGCTGATGGCAAGAGATCTGCCTGGAAAATTGTGACTTGTTGGAAGGAGAAACTGGGAGCAGCTGAGTTCAGATCTGGAATAATCTCATTCTAGGCACAGGTTTTTCTTTGTATTGACTTTCCCACATCATGATACTGTGTTTGTAGGTGCAAAGGAAGCCTTTGAGCTAAGCATTAAAAAGACATATATAGGAAATGGAAGATAGGTATGATCACCCAGAAGGTATGCACATTAGCTAATATCTGCAGAATAACTGTTAGAAAGACTAAAGCACAAAAGGAACTTGGGCTTGCAAGGGAAGTTAAAAGAAGGGTGCTTTTGTCAGTAGAAGAAGGAAGGGCTGGATCTGCTACTAGGAGAAAATGGTTGGATAGTAAGTGAGACTTTTTAAAAATCCATTTTTTCTGGCAAATGTATAAATATTGGGTATTGGGAACACTTGAACTGATTCTTGTCCAGAATCTCCAGGGTTGTTAAGAGAGAAGGCTTGTTCTGTCACCCTTAAACCAGAAAGGAAACCCAGAATGTAATACATAGAATGAGTTAATAATTTAGATCCTAGGGGCAAAGAATATTCTCTTAGATTTGTACCCCGCCCCCCTTTAAACATGTCTTGCTCCTTCTCAGAGAGGTAAGCTACATAGTCCAAAAGTATTATGGTTTCTTCTTACTGAATGATGCAAAGGTACCTTCAACATGATCCCATAATTTTTGACCAGCCCAGAAAGATTGGCATTGTGGTTCAACATACCTAGACGTATGGGAAAGTTGCACTAAGCTCTGCATTCTTTAGGATACGTAAATATTTGCCTAAGCAAACCTTTCTTTTCCCATTGCCAATCTTTATGGACTTTGGACTCTCAATTTATATGTGGTTGAAAGATCAGCCGGCACACAGTTTACTCAGTGATGCAGAAGGCAAACATTAAAAAGTGGAGATATCTGCTTCTTGTGGATTAAATCAATCCAATTTTCTAGATTTGCGTAACACGGAGAGCAATAAGTAGCCCAGACTGATCTGACCTAATGCCCTAAGCCACCAACTAACCAATTGTATTTAGGCCTAGCATTTTGTGTCCACCTAGCCTACAACTCTGATCATCTTTAGCCAGTGTCCTTGATGATCATATCAGAATTGTATTCCAAGCCATCTGGAAACCACCAGATCTGAGAAGCTGCCCTTACAATGAGATGAGCTGATTTCTTATGAGTTTCCCCAGCCCATTTTCAATCTCTCTGGTACTAAAAATAAAACCAGCCATTTAAAAGACACTTACAGGCTTAAGGATTTGGCTAGTGTGTCCAGCGATGAAGGAGTGGTATCTCTATGGCACGCCCTGTGCTCCTAACAAGCATGGTGATTGTAAAGGGGAGTTCTCAGTGATGGACGTTCACAAAGTCCCAGTTTAAGAAGAGGCCAACACATTAAAACTGCTAATAAAATGTCATATGGAATACTGCTATTGCAAACTATAGAAACCTTTTTTTCTTCTTTTGTCTCATATGGAGTTGTTTTGCCTATTGAAGGAAAAGCACGTCTGAAAAAAACAGGAATCGTTCCTGGGCATTACAGCCTTCCTCAGCTTTAAGGGGAGCTTTAGAGACTGAATATACCAGTGTTCCTCCCCCTTGGCAATTTTAAGATGGGTAGACTTCAACTCCCCACCATTCGCAGCCCGCCGTTTGGGCTGGGGGGTGTGGGGGGTGGAGGGTTTCCAACTTTTATATTCCTAGAAGGGGGGGGACCGGGAGATTTAATCTCT